TAGGGAAAGCATGTATACTATCCCTTAGACAGTAGGTAAGCACTTTATAGAGGCTGTGCCATAGCTCAAATGAGACTGATTAAAAGACTAAAAACAAGCCAGGTGTTGCTCTGAAACTGTATAATTAGCGCTATGTGCTGACATTTTTTTCTTTATTCCTTTAAAAAAAACATATTAAAAAAACCTGGACATTTTTTTTTATTTGCTAATCATCTCACAGTAACTAAGTATACAGTTGTACATGCGCTTTTACCTTTTGATGTTAACATAAAGAGGACTCTTGAATTTCAAAGAGCTGGTGGGTATTTGAGAGAATAAATGCAGAAGCTGCAGTGTAATCAAAGCTCATTATGGTTATTCTTGGTGTGATGTCTCTCTCCCGCTCCTACATAATTAGCCATTTTGGGTGGTTGGAGCAGTTCATTTAGGCGGGCATTTTCTCTTCTCTCGCACTCTGTCTGACTGCGACCTCTGACCCCTCTATCACTTTATTATACTGCCAGTTTTTCTTATTTCACAGACCCCAATATGTTGCCATGGAGAGAACTGAGGGTTCACAATTCCAGACCGATCAAGGTCTGGAGTCACTTTTATAAACGAAAAAGTGTTAAAAGATGACAAAAATACACACAAACAAAAGACATGCTCTCACATCTGTGAACAATTGTCAGTGTTTCTTGCATCTGCATTTTGCAAGCGTCAGTATTAATTTCGTCCTGATAATTATTTGCAGGTGGAATTTGGGGATCTGATTCAACAAATCCTTACTGTTGGGCATGAGGAGGAGAATGCCAAGAAAAATACAAGTGGCAAAATTAGTTAGAGACTATGATGAAAATGTAGGGTCAAACTTTGCTTGCTTCCACTTCCCCCATCGTAGTTATTTCATTGAACTAAAAGAAGTTACATTCATATACATCCAAAGTAACAACACAGAATCTGGCCTTTATTCAATTCAGTAGGTGTAAGTAAATCCAATGGGGCGAATCCTGGAATCCTTCTTGATAGTAATTGGTGTTCATGTGAGTTAGGACTAAATAAGGGACTTGGAATTTGTTTCAATAGATTTTGCAAGTGGGATTGAAATTAAAAAATATATATTTTTCCATTATAATATACTACCTGTATTTTATTTCAGTATCTATAAATAACAGAGGGACTTCAAAGAACAGTGATATTAAACATCATATATTTTTACATGTATGAAAGAGAAAAGAACCACCAAAAAAAAAAAGAAAGAAAAATCAAAGCTCAGTGAGGATCTGAGTAATAGAAAAGCTGCCTTTGCATTTTTAAAAGTTCCTTATACATTATCTAAGAAAATCCCTGCAACATCAAGAAGCTCAAGGGTTCAATGTTTCTGTTTCCAGTCATTCTTCAGGACTGTCACACTAGGAGAGTATGTAATCTGCTGTGTTTCCAGTGGTTTCGGTAACTTACTGTCTGATTAGTGGAGGACAAGTAGGAAATGTGTGTCAGATGTGGTGAATTTGGCCTTGCTAGAAAGCCAGTACATTTGTTCCTAGCCTCTTTGTGAAATGACTTGCACTTACCTTACACTAAACCTTTTCTGCAAAACCTTTACTGCCAGTGGCAGCAGGTCATTACTGGGCAGGTCTTTGGCAATTTAGTCAAGAGGTATGTATAACTTTAGTGACAGAAGTATCTGCTACGCAGTAAAGATATACCCACCCTAGCTATAAACTAGGTAGCTTGGGTTCCAGTAGCAGCTTAGCGACAGAAGCACAGAGCTCTCTGTACAGGATAAATTACTCAGCCTATATTCTCTTTATGGTTTAACATGATCTGTAATGGGTATGGAGGGATACTGAGGGGGAAGGGACCACTGAGCTCCATGTGCAGCAGTTTCTTTAGCTGCCTCTGCTTGCTAGAGCCTCTGCTCCCACTTCCCTGGAAATAAAAGTAAGGTGTTTTCTTCAAAATCAGCAGTTATTCCCAACAGAAAATTGACATCAATGAAAAAGCCTAACGTGTTCAGTGTGACTCCACTGGCCCAGTGCTCTCCTGTTCCAGCTCCAGCTCTAACAAGGCTCCAACCTGCATTCAGGCTGTTTTAATTTGCATTAGTGATGCAGGATCGTTAATGGAACCTAGATCAGGGGAGATTAGGCCGGATGGAGCAGAGCTGTGCCACACCTTTCTGCCATGCCAGCACAGGCACAGTAAGTGCAAGGCCTGGCATGCTCTATCCCTGGCACCCAGATGGTTCCAGTTACCAGAGTATCTGAGTACCTCCTCATCTGGGACGTGTTTATCCTGACAACACCCCTGTGGGAAAGGGCAAAGCTGTGATGAGCTTTGATGGCACCCTTTTAAGATGGGGAAACTGAGGCACAAGAAAGACCAAGTAATTCACCTGAGGTCACACAGGCCATCGGTTGTAGAACAGGGGGATGAACTCAAGTTTCCAGCTAATGCCTTAATCACAGGCCATTTTCCCTGTAGGCTGTTCTCCCATCCCTGGGGAATTCTCTGCAAGCATCTTGTAGCTAATTTGCAGCTTGAATGGCCTAGAGGGGCTAGCTCTGAGCATCCAAACCAGCTGCATTGCCTTTAGTAGATATGCTTGCAATAAGAGCAGACTTGGCCCCACTGATGCTGTCTTCCTACTGAGTGTTAGGGCTTGCATTATGCTTCTGGCACCTGAATGTAGACAGCAGGTAGGGTGGACACAGACACTAAAGCCTCCACGCTGCTCTGTCCCCCGCAACTTCCCAGCCCCCACCCCACATTTATTTATTTATATTTCTAGCTCTCTTACAATTTTCCCTTTCCCGCAGGTTTCACCAGGTTTGGTTTCCAGGCAATCAGTGCTTGTTAAGTATTCCACTGAGCATGATATTGCTCTCCTGTCTCTCTGTTCTGAAGCCCAGCTGCAGTAATTTGCTGAACTCAGCTCTTGCAGAGAGGTTTTATTTTATTTTATTTTTTTAAAGGAGGAAAAAATAACAAACCTATTAATAATAATAATTAAAAAATCCTTGACAGGTGGGAACAGTACATCTATATCACCGTGTGTGCATCCTGCGGGGAGGAGGGGAAATCCAGCCGCTTTGGCAAATACATGATGACAGTGCTGGCTCCGGGTGTTTAGAAAATCTACTCAGAACAAGCCTCAATAACATGACATTTAAAAGGACAGTGGCCATAGGAACTTTTGCTATGCTGTCTTTGGAGGAGATGTACTTGTGCCAGTGCCCTGAGGGGTGATGGCAAGGGAGGATTTTCCCCAAATATCCAAATTCCTGGTAGCGTTCTCAGCTGGCGTGAGCCAGCAGCGTTCTGTTGATACCAGCGCCACTCCCCTGGATTGATACCAGCCAAAGATCTAGCTGGATAAGACAGAGATGAATTCTGCTGTCTCTTCCTCTGGTGTGAATCCAAAATAGCTCTATTGAAATGGGAGGAGTCACTCTGGTTTTGCATGTTGTTTTCAGAGCATGTAAGCCAAATGTACACCCGTGCCACGGAGAGCAGAATGTTGCTCATTGTGTACAGCTTCAAAGCCAGCTCTTATGAGAAGCTTAGCACTCCAGCTGCCATTAATTTCAGTGCAAGGGCACTCAGGTCACCACAGAATCAGTCCCTCCATTCTGAGGCAAGTTGGAGGAAAGCTTGGCTCCACCGATAGCATTGTGCCACCCAGGAATGAGTACACTTATGCTGAGACCACTTGAATGATGTGGGTTGAATGTTTACCTTGAATGTTATTAAAGTAGAAGAGGCTTCAACAAAGGACTAGAAAGGAGAGGGAGAGATAAAGGTCTAGTGAAAAAATAGGATGGAAACAGAGGAGAATGGAACACGGAGACAAGACATAACAGGAGGAGTATAAGAAAGGAAGGAGGCACGGGGAAGATAGAAATTTTTAATGACAATCAAATACAGTGGACCTCATTCTTCTCTTAGGGAGGCTGGCATCATTCTGCTGGCTTCAGTGGAATTGATCCTGGCTTACACCTGGGTAACTGAGTTCAGTGTTTGATCTGGTATAGGCTAAGGACAGACATTACACGTAAACCAGTTTAAGTGATCAGAAACTGGTTTAAACCTGTAACAGAACAGATGTTCAGTGCACATAAATCAGTTTGAAAATGGGTGAAACTGGTTTGCAATAAATGTGGTTGAATATAGGATCAGACTTAACTGATTTGGCTCAAACCGATTTATGCAATGTCTGTCCTAGACCCCTTGCGGGTTTAAGTTAAACCAGACACCCCCAGCATCCTGGCATACTCTCTGGGCTGGGTGGGGGTCTCTGCTCCACAGCAAGGCTAGCCCCTTCCTTCTGCTCTTGCAGCTTGGCAGAAACTTATAGGCATAGCAGGGTCTGCTGGCTTCCCTGTGCCCCACCTCCTCACCACTTACTGCTTAAGCAGATCTCCCTTCCTCTCTCCCACAGCACAGACCATAGCCAGTAGGGCTGTGCGAAACAGCACCATTTCGTTTCAACTTCCATTTCACCATTTTGAAGGGACAGTGTTTTGCTTCACTGTTTCGAAGCACTGTTGTTTTGTTTCACCGAAACGTTTGCTGTTTCAATGCTGTTTCGACGCGTTTTGACGTTTTGCCCATAGGGTATAATGGGGAATCACAAAAATGCCTATAACCTTGTCATTCCTTGCTTGGTTTAGATGAAAATTGCAGAGATGGTAGCCCGTTCTGAAGCATGCCAAATTTCAAGGACATAGGTATAGGGGTTTCTGGGAAACTGCACCTCAAACTGTTCAAAGCAAAACTCATATCACTTGCCAGCAACGGCAGCCTGTTGTCATCCTGCATGCAGATCTGGGGGCTGCACCTCCCAGGAGGAGTTCAGCATAGCCCTGCAGCCCTCCCAGGAAGCATGAGCCTCCAGATCTGCGTGCGGGATGACAGCAGGCTGCCACTGCTGGCTGAGGCCAGTGCCAGCACCTGAGTGTCCCTGGTGCAGCTTGCGCCGAGCGCTGGGCAGACTCGGGTGCTGGCACTGGCCTGAGCTGGCAGTGGCAGTGTGCTGTCATCCACCATGCAGATCTGGGGGCTTGTGCCCCCTGAGAGGAGTCTGGCAAAGCCCAGCAGCCCTCCTGGGGGACGCAGGTTCCCGGATCTGCACACGGGGTTTCAGCAGGCTGCTGCTGCCGGCTGGGGATAGCCCAGAGCTGATGCCATCCCCAGCTGGCAGCAGCAGCCTGCTGTCATCCCGCATCAGCCAGGGGCAGTGATCAGCGAGCTGGGGGAAAGATCAGGGAGCTGGGGAATCCAAACAGGAACTGGGGGGAATGTTCAAGGACCTGAACATGCCCCCAGCTCGATTCCCCAGCCCCCTGTTCGATTATCCCAGCTCTCTGAATATTTCCCCAGCTCTTGCTGCATACCCTCTGGGAAGAGCTGGGGAAATGATCAGAGAGCTGGAGGAAGCGATCAGAGAGCTGGGGAACTGAAACAGGAGCTAGATGTCAATATCAGAGCAGTCCTTCTCCACTATTCCTCCTCCCTCTCCTTAGTTTCTGTTAGCTGCAAGCAAGCCCGGCTTTGAAACTCAAAACGTTTTGAGTGTCCTCGTTTCTTTTCAAAGCTGTTTCAAAGCCTTTTGTTTCATTTCGATTTCACTGTTTTGAGCTCAAAATGTGTCAAAACAGCTTCAAAATGAAGCACTTGTCGTAATTTTGCACATCCCTAGAATAGGGATGGGATAGGGAATAGATAGGAATAGGAATAGGGAATAGATAGCTAATAATAGCTATCTATTAGCTAGCATGTGGTATGCTAGCTAATAGATAATGCTGTGTAAGGCAGATAGGGCATCGTCTGCTTAGGGCTTTTAGAAGGTAATCAACAGGTCAGCTGGTAATATCATTGCATTCCTTCCTTTGCATAAAGCTGCTTAAGAAGAGCTTGAACTAATGAGCGATGTTTTGTTTTCTGATGGGGTGTTAAATTCTGATAACCAAGTTGATAAATTCTCTGTTATCAAGGGGGGAGGGACCCCTCCCTAATCACAGTGTCTTACCAGGACCTGGCCATGCAGCTCTCTGCAGATGGGGAAGGAGGGCTGCTCTAGCACCCCCTGGCTTCTAACCTGAGACATTGCAGGCATGTGCCTGCATTTCTGGGATGTCTATTTGGTTACAAAACTGATTTAGCTTAGCTAGGTTAGACTAACTTGCAAAGATTGAATCAATTCAGACTCAGGCATTTTGAATGTCTGTTCCTAGCCATCGGGATCAGGAAGTGCTGGTTGGGAATTTTTCAGCAAGAGTTTTTCATTAAAAAATGACAAAACACTTGCAGGGCACTATCCAAAATGGTTCTAGTTTCTTACCAGCTCAGCAGGCTGGTTGCTGGGTACACTAGATCCCAGGTTAGTAACTGTGGTTCGACTCTGTCATGCAGATGGCCCAAGAGTCAAAGACCCCAGGGCTTCCAGCCCTCTCACTGTGAAGTCGAGTTTCTAGGCTTGAGCTGGGTTTCTTAGGGCTTTCAGGCCTCCTGCTGTCAAGCTGGTGCTCCTGAAATGTCTCAGGATTCCCATGCTCCCTGCAATGCAGTGTGGAGCCCTGGCATCCTTGCTCTAAAGTTCTGAGACACCCAGCTCATTTGTAGACAAGGTTCTTTGGGTAAATCTGATATCTTTTATTTGACCAACTCAAATAGTAAATAAATAAACAAACAGGTGTAATAAAAGATACCAGATTTACCCAAAGAGCCTTGTCTGCCTGTGTCCTTAGACTAACACAGCTATAACCTATACCCCAGCTCATCTGTGGCTTTTAGCTTATAGCAGGGCTATCCAACTGGCAGCCAGTGGGCTGCATGCAGCCTGCAAGGGGTCAAGTTGCAGCCCCCAGGCTCTTACCCAGCCACCACTCCCCACATCACTGTGTGCCAGTTACTGTAATCACCTATCCCAGCATGTTGTCAATGACCTGCCCCCTGTACAACAGACCCACTGTGTGTCCCAGCAAAGGCCGACCTCAAGACCTTTCAGCACCAGAATCACAAACAGCTTTCAAAGGGGAGTGACTCTTGTATTGTCTCATAGTAAAAGGCTTCTATCCTTTACATGAGTAAATCACTAGAGGAAGGCATGATATCTTACGATTAGCCAGTGCATTATAGTAATGCCCTCATACCCCACAAAGGTACATATTTACACTAGCAATCATCCCACCAGTGCTTACATCAGGTCTGACAACACTCTGTAGGCATGTTTTGCCACTTAGTAATTCTCTTGACTTCACTGATTTATGGCAGGGTAAGCAAGCAGAGAGTCAGGACCAGCATTTCTAGTAGCAAAAAAAAAAAAAAGTTGGTGCTATAATTAAGGGTAGATTGTAGCTTTCAGCTACCTTTCACTATAACTTTCCTCCTGGAGGGGACTTTAAACCATCACCTCCAGTTTCTCTCTTTTATTAAACAGGCAGCATACAAACCTGTTGTTATCCTCTCTGCAGCCTTGGAAACACAATCAGCCCACAAAGAAAATCAAGCGTTGTCCTCCCCTGCCTGTGAGGTTTGTAAAGATGGGTTTTCAGCTGGGTAATTTTGCTCTGTGTTGGTCCTGCTGTCAGTAACTTATCATTAGTTCAAGAGGAGGGGAGAGGGATGTGAAATTTAGCTTGCCACATTCGTATTTCTACACATTGGTTTTCCTCCTCCTCACACATTGGACCTGTACCTGTTTGCCTTGTGATTTACAGCAAATCTTTCCCAGGTTTTTCAGGATCTGGTCTGAGTAGGGAATTGGGGTCTTGCTCTTTGAATGTAATTCACAAAGTAGTTCTGTTGACAGGGAGCTGATGCCTGGAGACAGTTCCTCTTTGTGGCTTTGCTGCATGTTGTGTTGTCCACCTCTGTAACGGAAACCATATCTGATCTTTTGGCAGCCCCTCTCAAAGACTGGCCCCCTCTCCCTCATGTCCTGGCTTGTTTAGATGCCTGGATACTCATGGATTTTCTCTCTTCTTTCCTTAGTGTTTTAAACCGTACCCCTGTGCACCTGGTCCATGAAATCATATTAGTGGATGACTTCAGTGATGATCGTAAGTGATTCTCTTTTAAATTGAAAACAAGGGCTAAGACCATACCTACCAAGGGGGAGTTGTGCTGGGTTGGGACTTACCAGAGGGGGGAACCAAGGTAAATGACAGGATCATTAAAGTCCAAAAGTGATGAGGATTAAACCATGTTATTCAGTGTTGCTATGGGTCAGGACTAGGGAATCCTAGGCATGGGATCCAGGGCCTGGGACCAGAGGCAGATACTTAAAACTTGAAGAATTGTGTAAATCTGATCTTTCCATTTATTTTGTTCATTTCATTTTTACATGTTTACTCAGAATAGATAGTACAGGTAGGCTGATGAGTTTGAAATTCAGTTTGATATTCAGCCAGTTTTGCTTTACTGTCCATGCGCTGAAGGGCTAGTTGGCTTGCTAAACAGATTCCTTAGAGAGGCTTTGGAATCCCTATCATGAAGGTTACACAAACACTTGTCTGGAATGGTTTGGTCAGGGATTATCCTGCCTTGAGCCAAAGGGTAGGGATAAATGATCTCTTGAAACAATTGATCTTTTAAACAAATTAAGATTCCCACACAGAGTGTATAACAGAGCTAGGAGGAAATGATTTTCATGTCCCATGAGACGTGTCAAGGTTTTGAACATTTTTCCTGTCCTGCAATGAATTGCAATGAATTTTTGTAAACAGAAAATCCAAAAAAACTTTGGATCAAGTGATTGTTGCTTGTTGTTTTGACCATTTGAAATATTTTCTTTAGATTTTGACCTTTAAAATGTTTTTGTTATAAATTAACTGCATTTTGAAACAAAAAGCCATTCTAGCCAGAAAGAAAAATAGTTTTAGGAGTGTTGAAATAGGATGATTGGACACTTTTGAAACTTTTTTCCCATTTCTCTTTCATAAGTAGGAAATCCATTGAAACTGCCTCTTTCCTATGAAAAAAAGAAGTGTTATCAGACTTGGCCAACTACATCTAATTTCTCACCCCTCCATCACAGCCTTGTGCAGGTACAAGAGACACTAAAGGGGAAATGATCTAAAGCACAAAGTGAAGACAACTGAAGTGTTTTCATTTTATAAGCACAAAAAGTGTACAGACTGCTTAAGTGGATCAAAATCAATGTGGCTTTATGAGAATCCATCACTTTTCATAATTAAAGGTGGCATTAGAAAGAGAACAAATGTTTTTCGTGGGTTTTTTGGTGTTTTTTTTTTTAACTTGGCAGTTCAACCAACCCTCCGTATGATGTTATTCTTCAGGAGGGTTGCGGACACTGCTTGGAAGGCTCAAATTCCACATGAAAGAGCCTGTTCTAATAGAAATGTAAAAACAAATAAATCCCAAGTTGCTTCTGCCAACAGGAAGCCTGAGGCTGGTCTGGGGTTGGTTTTAACTCCAGTGTAATTCTGTTGTTCTAGGCCTTGCTCTCAGTTGTAAATGATTGATTGTAATCCAGAACAACTCGAGTTTAATGCAGCTATTCTAGATTTGCATGACTATAACTGCAAGGAAAGTTGGACTTTAAAGGAGTAACTCTAATTTTCATTGGCATAGGCGAGAGCAAAAACTGATCTTTCTCATTTTCTGACCATTTTGGACATAGCAAGCCAAATTCAAGTGTCTCAAATGGTGCTCTAAGTTACAGCTGAGCCCTTGTTCTTCACCCTGTTACATCGGTTTCACACAGGGCAACTCCACTGAAGTCAATAAGCCAGATCCTGGTATAAATAGTTGTAGTTCCACTAACACTGGTGGAGCTATGCTGATTTATGCCAGTTGAGGATTAGAGCCAGTGGGGCAACACTGGTATGACTGAGTGGTAAGTGAGGCCTGTAGATTGTAAGTGAATAAGAACACAGGTTTCCCTGATAAAACAGCATAATGTGGCCCACTCAAGCATTCAGTGCAGTGTACCTTATACCCTAAGGAGCTGCAAGATGTAAGTTTTAAATAGGAAAAGCAACTAAAAAGAGGGTACAAGAAAAATGTATGCTTATATCCTAAAATAACTTCCCAACCCCCATCTCTTGGAAGTTATAAATAGTGCCAATAACAACGCACATTGGGGAAAGAGGGGCTAATTCCAGTCTCATACTGGTATAAGAGCTTGATCCAAAACCTCTGAATTTCAGAGGAAATTATCGTAGTGACTTCTGTGAGCCCCATATCAGAAGCAACAACACTGAAGTGAATGGAGTTATGTTGGTGTGAAACTCCTGTGACTGAGTTAAGAACCAGGCCTAGAAATGTTCACTGTCCTGGACTATATTAGAATAGACATGCTTCTTAGAAGGGCAGAGGAAACAATAAAAAAGATACTTTGCTATAAATAGAAAGTGCTTACCTTCCTAAATGAGGGGCAGTTGTGGGTTCAGTGTTCAGCAACATCCAAGTTCCATGATCCACAAGCTGAGGAACTGAAGCAAGAGTAGCTTTTAGCTCCTATTAGGCTCTGCGGTGACAGTAGTCGTTTTGGCCCCTTCATGACATAGAACAGCCTAAGGGCTGCTCTTAATTACCCAGATGCTACAGGACCCCTTCTCCCATCTACCATTGAATCAAGCATTTGCCAGAGTGCAGTGAAATTCCATTCATCCTTTGCTTTCTCCCTGGACAGACCTTCTATGCCATTTAAGGATGCTCCTGCCCTACAAGCAGGAATCCCTAAGGAGCAGGTTACACTGGCTGTAAAACTGTTGTGCAGCACCAGAATTATTCCATATTTACACTAATGAAAATGAGGTCAGAATCAGACCTGTGCTTTGATTCTCATGTCATACTGATTTTACATTGCAGCTCCATAGTTTCAGCTACTTTAAATCCATGTAACTTCATCATCATAAAGGGAGCTACATTTATACTGACTGGGTAGGTGGCCCATTTATACTGACTGGGTAGGTGGCCCATTTACTGCACTGGAGGACACTAGGTTGAGACCAGAGTCAAGCACAAGGTCTATTGGAGGTGCCAGCTGTCTATAAGGCAGTCAGTCCACATCCCAGCCCTAGCTGTGCTCTTCATTTCCTTGCAAGAACCTATATCTCTTGTGAAATACCTGAATGCTGCTAAGTTATGTGCCTCTCTGTTTGTGTTTCCAAAGCTGATGACTGCCATTTACTGTGCAAGTTACCCAAGGTGAAATGTTTACGCAACGGGCAGCGAGAAGGTAAGATCTTGTTGGCTCAGGCACAGGCAGGTGGCAAAGGAGAGAAAAGAAATTCATGAGGTGGGAATAGGAGCGGGAGGTAAGGAGGCAAGGCCAACTGCAGAGCTGTAGCAGCGCCTGGCAGGGGTGACTGTGCTAGCATGGTGATGGAAGATGTGAAAACAAGGCAAGGTCTGCTGGACTTCTTCAAAAATCAGTGCTTCGTGGCTCCAAAGGGAGAGAGCAGTAATAAAAAGAGACGTTCCAAAGGGCTAGGAATTGAAATGAATTTCTCCCCCTTTAAAAAGATTGGACTATTAAGATATCCAATGAGGCTCAGCTGCAGCTTATTAGCCAGAAAATTAGAACAGGCAAAACAAAGCCCCGGGTCTTCTTTTTAAAGCTGTTTGTTCTAATGAAACAGACGAGATCAGCTCCCGCTGCTTCCATGGGAATTAAAAAAAAATGTAATTAATTATATTTTAAAGATTAAGAAGATCCGTATGGAGGATGAATGTCTGCCTCAGCAGGGCTGTTGCTGGTGACCTCTTGCAACACTTTGCCATGCAGCCCCCAATCTCAATGAATATTTTCAAGTGCTGTTTTCCAGTATTAAAAATAAAAAACAAAGAAAGTTTTAGCAGGTTTAGCACAGTCGTGATCCACTGGAGGGAGGGAAGGAGTGAATATGTGTGTGTGTGTGTGTGTGTGCATGTGCGTGCGCACGCGCGCGTGTGTGCGCGTGTGTAGGGATAGGGAGAGGAATAGAGAGGGTTTGTCCCTACATTCTCCCTCCAGGCTGGATTGATGCTATGTCAGTGTAGAATAACCCTGTTAAAACACTAGAGTTTACCTGGATTGTCCCTGGTATAGATGAGATCAGTCTGGCCCTGTCTCCCTCTTTTTCTCCAACAGCCCAGGATTTGTGTGTGTCTTTCTTCCTGCCAGGCTCTCTCTGAAACCAGTGTAGTCTCACTGCAGATGCTGCTGAGAAGGGCAGTCAGATTTTGGTCCCAGTACAGAGGGGTACATATCCCTTTATATACTGTGTGGTTGTTCTCCCACAAGACTCTTAGTATGCCAGTCTTTGATTGGGCATGGGGTGGAGAAGAGAGAGATAAATACAGCAGCAGCTAGTGGCCCAGGGACCAGAGAAAGGGATGCCTACACAAAAAAAAATCTACACAAGAGTTATGTCAGCTCCCATTGACATCTATGAAAATTTCACTTGTGCGTCCAGTGGAATGTGTAACCCAAAGCCACATCCTTAATAAGGAGATCTCCTTTCTGTGGGAGAGTGGGTGCAGGAGTGAGTGGGTGAGTGTGGCAGTGACAGGGTGATAAAAGACTGGTTCCTTCTTCCTTTCCCTCTCCCCTCAAGAGAATTTGTTGCTGCTGTTACACAGGCCCAGTCCAGGCTGACTTACATTTACATTAGATGACATTATCTGCAGGGGTTATTGAAAGTACTTTAAGTCTTGTTTTCCTCTAGGAAAGTGACAGCAGAAATAATTACATGAATTAAGAATTGGTGTAAATGCCATAAATCATTTATCTAGCAGGGTCCTTTATTTGCTGTAATGACCTTGGGAGGTGAGGAAACTGGCTTACATAGCCAGGAGGGTAACTGACCCGAAGCAAGTTATGTGTACCTGGGAAGGAGGAGGGGTGTGAAGGTTAAGAGTCAAGGGATCTGTGGGTCTGTGTCTCCTTTGCCTTGCATGTTGACATACATGGTCCACCTAGGTGGCTCCTGAGCTTGTATGTGTTTGAACAGGTTTGATCCGGTCCCGAATCCGAGGGGCAGATATGGCACAGGCGGGAGTCCTGACCTTCCTGGACAGTCACTGTGAGGTGAATAAGGACTGGCTGCTGCCTCTCTTACAGAGGATCAAGGAGGTAAGTGTTTTGAGGAGACCCAGAACTTTCATAGCCCACGTATTAACAAAATCCACCTGTGTCTCCAGCTCCTTGTCTAACCAGTGGCATGTGTGTCTGAATATGCAGATGATAAATCTCTTGGGAGGAAAAGGCTGACCTGTACATTGGTGTGAGGTAGTCTTCTAGTCTTGCAAGATGCTCTCTTGAGCATTTAGCTATAACTTTCTGTCCTACTCAGTCCTAGGCAGCTCAGTTTATGTCACATGCAACTTCACTGAAGGGGAAAAAACAAATTGCCCCCAGGTTGAATTACCCCACGTATGCAATACTGGATCGGCCCTCACAGAGGATGAAAGTTTTGTAGAGAGCAGAAAGAAGGGGCTGGGCAATAGGTATGCAGCTCAAACTAGCAGCACCCCTGGGTCTCCATTGCAGTAACAAGGAGGCAAATGATGAGTGGTGCCAGGGGAAAGGTGGGCATTTCTCCAGAAGACTTTTTAATTAGGCTCCTGCAGAATGCTCGATGCTGATGATTTAGGGGAGTGATGGCTCTTTGAATAGGGGCTGAATTTAATTTCATGCAAATTAAGCTTTAATAAATTGATTTAATAGGATTTAAATTCTGCTGATTTCACAGCAGACAATGATGTTCTTCTTCCCCCAGAGACATCTCTCTCTTCAGGCACACCTACCCCCGGCACCTTGTCATTCCAATCAAAGGTGGCATGATCTTACAGGTTCAGCATAGTGACCGGAAATTCAGCTCTGATTCACATGACCTTGGGCAAATATTGCCCTTATTTTACCTGTAGAACAGAGGGCTCATCTACATGAGAAGTTTACTACAGAGTCGATTAATTAGCTCCACAGTAAACGTCTTGCATCTACACGTGTGGCCCTCTTAAGCCTCAGGAAACTAATTAACTCTGCAGCAGGGTAGCATTTTAAAATACAAGTACTATCCTACTGCAGAGTTATTTACTGTGCAGCACCATGCATGTAGGCATGACCTAGGCATAAATTGCTCCTGGTCAGCCCAGCCAGCAGGGGGTCACATTCCTGCCTGCTGCCTAGCCACATGGCTCGGCAGCTGTGGGAGCCTTGTGGCTCAGCCAGCTCCTCCACCACCTGACACAGCCACCTGCTACCTGGGCCTGACACCCCACCCCCTGCCAGCCTGGGGCTGCCTCCTGGATCCTGGGCCACACTGCTGCCACCAGCTGGAGCCCAGGCCTGACTCTCTCGTCCCCTGTGGCTGGAGTCTGGAGCTCCTCTTGGCTGCTGCAGGGGAGCAGAGCAGGGCAAGAGCAGCCCTGGCCTAAACTGCTACTCCCAAGCTCAATTTGCTGCTGTCCAAAGCACATGCTTGGGTGTAGTTTACTGTGGTGCAAATTGCTCTGCTTTTTATTCAGTCGCATTAATTGCACATGAAAATATGCCAAAGGATGATAATACTTACGTGCTGCACAAGGACACATTGGGCATGTCTGCACTGGGCACTGCTAGGAAGCTTAGTGGGCGGGGCAAGCTGAACAACAGTCCCAGGCACTGCCTATGGCAGGGTCAGGCAATTATTTCAGGTGGGGGAATAGGAGGATGAGGTGGGCAGTATTTTGCCTACCCCTGGCCGAAGGGGTGGAGGTGAGCCAGAATGGAGCTAGAGGGCACCTAATCCTCCTATTCCCCCACCTGCCACCGCAGAACCTTCCCTGCAGTGGCCTCCGGCAGCAGGGAGGACAGAGAAGTGGCAGCAGTGGCATGCTGTACAGGGTAAGGTAGCTGGAGATCTGTTGTTGCTGAGGGAGTTGGCCCTGCTTTAAAATGTTGCTGTGAAAACACGTCATACCCTTGTACTTCAGCTTGATGTGCACCCTGTGGGCTGCAGAAAATGTCAGGCAGCTGCTTGTGGGGCATGCCCAAAGCTGTTCTCAGGCTCTAGCTTGCTCCTGGGAGTGGGGGCTACGCAATATTTTCTTCACATGACGTGTTCAGACCTGGAGTAAGTGGGCTTGTTTTCCTGTGCTCCCAAACACTATCTGCCATGCCGTGCTTGTCCCTATTAATTAGCTGTAATGTCAACCGTGCTTGGAAGAGAAGAGTATTTGTGCACTGTGCAGTGCAGCACCATGTACAGGTACCTGTGTTAGCTCCAAATGAGCTGGTCCCTATCCTGTTTCAATTACAGTATTTAAGTATTGGCTGTAATTATTAGCAATGACTGTAGCCTGTTGGAGACTACTGTTCATTATGAAATCATTATACAGTTGCATTATTATCATTATACAATTATTTATGTATTTTATTAGCAGTGATATTCCATTAATTATACTTACTTAGCTAATGAATAACTAATTAATTATCTGAGGCATACAAAGACAAAATGACTTGTTCAAGATCCCAATACTCTGTGAAGATGTGCTTGCTTTGCTTCTGCTTTGCTTCACAAGCATAGGCCATGATTTTCCATGTTGGCAACTTTCTCTATCTGTCCAGAGTCCTGTGACCCTTATGGGAATCCCTCACCAGTCCCTGCCAGGGGGTACAAGCGCAGACTAGGTTCCTCAGCTGTGAGTTCTTGGAGGCAAACTCTCTTCTCAGCTTGTTCAGGGATCACCTAGCATATTGGAACCCTGAGTCTGTGCTGCTGCAATACAGCTAATAAACAGCAGTTTAATTAAAATATTTGCATATGATTATAGTTGTTATGAAATGATGATAAGACTTGTTAATTTCTACCAGAGACTCGGATCTGGCTTGCCCAAGAACAGGATTTGCCACTGACGTATATTCTACTGATTGTTTTTCAACCAGGGCGTAGCCTTTTAACATGCTCGCTCCTCTTGAAATCTCTCCATTCCAGCCTTCCCCTCCCTGAAGTCTACTTCTGAATCTCAGAAGCAACAGTTTTTTTCCCCATGCAAAGCATCTGACGTGTTTTGGCAGACTGAAAGCAAGGGGCATGGCAGATAGAATTGGCTTTTGCTTGCAGCGTTGTGGACAGTAGCTCATGCTCAGCATTGATGTGATAGATGAATGTGGATGCCATATGCAGCGGTGCCGTAGGAGTTTCATTACGCAGCAGCAGCAGCGTGGTCTGAATGTAGCATTAAAGCAAAATGTCACCTCTGCTGACTTCGTTTTACTTGGAGCACCATTTTTTTCAAGCATATGTGTGGTTTGAAGTAGGAGCTGGTTCTATGGTAGGCTCTCTCTATTGGCCTCAGTGCAAAGAACTTTGTACAAGACCCTTTATGCCACTCTCCAAAATATGTCAGGGAGCAAATTGGAAAGTCCTAGAGGACCTTTGGGCCATATGAACTCACTGGGAAATAGGACTCTGAAGGGTTAGAGAAATCCACTTATAGGGGGTTTACATCCTGGATTCGGATGCCCAGAAGAGTATGGGGGCAGAGTGGTTAAAGCAATTTGCCCTGGCTTCAGAGGCATGCGTTTGAGCCTCCCTCTGGAATTGTACCAAAGGCTGCTCCCAGATGACCAAGTTGTATGTGGGTACCTGGTCAGTTGGGCTGGAGAGACAAAGGTGGCTGGTCCTCATCCTGATCACAGCAGTACTTTATTTACCATTTGGAGTAGAAACTGGTGTGTCCTAACTGTGTTAGCCCTATGGGCTGCCAGGCAAAAGTGAGTCTTTGACCTTGACCTCAGGGCACAAAGACAATGTAAGAGGCTTCTACTAGTCTCTAGTGGGTATTTGAACTATTGTACAGGGATAGGAGGCAGCATCACTGATGAATTTGGAATAAAACTGGGAGTTGCAGGTCAAGGCCGAGGGGTGTTGTAGAAGTGTGTGTAGAGTGCCCAGGAACAGAACAGCAATGGTGGGGGGGCTGTGGATCAAGATTAACAGGGTCTTGACAAGGTTGTACAGGCAAAGTCCAAGACTGGAATAGCAAGAGGTGCTACTGGGCTGTGTTGAGATGATGCATTAGAACAGGGGTTGTCCTGGGAAGCCACTGGATCCAGCCTGCAGATCAGGAGGGCTTTGCTTGTTCCTGCACTCATGCCCATACTGGGGCTAGGCAGCGAGCAGCTGTGTTAGGCCAGGCAGCTTTCAGCTGTGTCTTCACTGGTGCCACTTCTTTCCATCCCTTTTTCCCCCCAGCTGCAATATGAGTGCAACTTCCAGCTGCTGAGGAGTTGCACTGGGGCTGGCATCTCCCAACAGAGCTCATGTGTAGCTGGGAGACAGGGGTGGGGGTGGGGAGCAGGGAGAAGCAGCAGCAGCATGAACACAGTTTACAGTTGCCCAGCCCCAGCACAGTTTCCCACCAGGTAGAAACTGCTGGGGCCAGGGAGCAAGGACGAGCTGAGAGAAGCAGCATCAGCACAGGCACAGCTTCCAGCTCCCTGGCCCCAGCACTGATGCAGGGAAAGACTCCTCTTCCCCCCCAAAGTGCCGCCAAAACTGTCCAGTCCACATCAGACTGGACCTAGGTTGTTCCAGCCCGTGACTTGCTAAAGGTTTCTGGCTGCTGCAGAAGAAAGGTGTCTGGGATGTCTAGAAATGGAATGGTAGGTGATGTTTAGATCAGCCTGGGGAGGACTGGCCACGTGTGAAGCAGCTATGGTGTTGCAGACCATAATTGAAGAGTATTTGTGAAAACTGATTTAATTTCTGTTCTATTTCTTTTTTTGTTGACCCCAAACTTCACATCCAAAGGGTACAAGGTCATTAACTTGCATCCATTAGTTTCCCTGCTACCTGGCACACAGTTTCCATCCTTACACCAGGGTTAAAATGCTGATCAGGGAACCATATGTATATGAAATGTTACTGCTGCCACCTTCAGGTTGGTGTTGAAAAGAGGACTGGCTAATCCTCTGCCATGTTCTTTTACAGCAGAGATGAGTGTTCTATAAAGGGCTTTTCTTCCTTTGTAACTGGCAGGAATGGTCTGTTTTGTTTTAATAAAATTTAAGTTTTCAAGCGAATTAGGAATGACTAGCTTTAAACAAATCTGACTCTGTAGCTAGCACCAATTCAACTTGCATGTCAC